TATGGATTATTGATTACTGAGTGAGTCTGTTAGATATATAACGAATAACCAGTGCATGGTTTAATCAGTTTGTCTGCTGCTGTCAACCAGCTCAGTGCTGTAAATTGGGAATTTAATTTACTACAATGAAGAACAAGAAATATGAAATTCGCAAGTAACTGGAATTTCTGCTTGGACATTGTTTATTTCTTAAGTTTGTCCTATCTTTAGTTATGTAAAACTGTGGATCCTGTAAACAAAGTGGAATGAGTTTTGTATTTTTTTTAGTGGATAATCTAAAGGAGTCTGCTCAACAACAGAAACTGTTACAACAATGTAATGCTGAAAATGGTTGCTTTATTTGTATAGCATAACTTGTTTGTTTGTAATTAAGCACAAACCTACACAATGGGCTATCTGTGCTCTGCTCACCACGGGTATCAAAACCCAGTCCGCAGAAATACCGCTATGCCACTGGAGGGCATATAGCATACTTGTACACCTCGTGTCGTCGAGATGGTGTTTTAAGGCTGTTATGTTTAGCCTAGTGTGGTAGATATAAATCATTTTGTTAGGACGATGTTTCATTTTACGAGATTATGTTTGGCTAAATGTACTCTATAAACCCCTAATTTTGCCAAAATGGTGTTTCATTGTTATAAGATCATCTTTGACCAAATGTGCTGCTATATAGTCATCTCATTTTGTCTGCATGGTGTTTCACCATTAGAAGATTATGGGTGGCTACATTTTGTCAAAAACGTGTTTCAGCATGCCAAGTTTGTAAGTAGGGTATCCATGTTTCAGCATGCCAAGTTTGTAAGTAGGGTATCCATGTTTCAGCACGCCAAGTTTGTAAGTAGGGTATTCATGTTTCAGCATGCCAAGTTTGTAAGTAGGGTATTCATGTTTCAGCATGCCAAGTTTGTAAGTAGGGTATTCGTGCACCATTTTGTCCCGGTGATACACGGAATGTTTTAATTGGGATAGTGTTTCATTGTTACTAGATTATGAGTGGCCATGTATGATGTACATAAATATTACATTGCTATGTGAATAATGGTTAAAATAATTAGAGGCGATGTTAGCCACTTCCGAGTGAAAGGGCCGAACTGGGCTGACAAAAATTGAGAGAGCTGCACTCTATATCTTGTAGACACACAATTCTTAAGTAGTTAACCCGCCCGTTTAGCATCCAAAAGACCCACCTCAATGGCAGATCCTTGTGAGTAGAGATCAAAAGGTGCTGCCAAGCAAGGGGATATCCTTTGAGAACGGGAGGTAACGTGAAGTCGTAGTTCGATAAAGTGGCGCCAGAGGGCGGATATTTCCAAATTATGTTACTAGGGGGGGGACTGTTCCAAAGTGTATTACTAGGACCAGATAGTTCCAAAGTATGTCACTAGGGGTGGATGATGAGCTCATCTATCATATGCGGGGAAATGTTTTGTTATGTGGTTCACTCCCATACCACCATAGGGTGTTATTAATGTCAAGCTGTACCATGTTATACAAATATAGTATTACAGTGTTTAAAACGATATTGGTTTTTATACTACTATAAGAGTCAACTTTAATATTTTACATTAATAACGATAATACAGAAAGTCTTTGTATGCGTAAAATGAACGTTTCATATATATGTTACAGATTAGCTAATTGTATATCAAACTTCATGGTTTACACATTTATTAATTTATTATGCACAATCTAAAGTTTTAAATCTCTACATATTTATCCTATGTGTCGTACTCATATCTATATATATTAACTTTACTTACAATCCGTGTAATTCTGATAATTGTTTGTTTGTAATTAAGCACAAAGCTACACAATGGGCTATCATGCTCTGCCCACCACGGGTATCGAAGCCCGGATTCTAGCGTTGTAAGTCCGCAGACATACCGCTGTGCCACTGGGGGGCGATAATATTGTGTCGGGCTGACTAACTACTCGCACACATACTGTATTATTTAAGAAGTAAACGAACTTCAACAATAAGCACTTTGCAGTTGGGTGTGAGGGGCTACATAGGAGACTTAGGCACATTTGGGGGTTATTTCATCTCCCCCCGCCCCTGCTCCTTAAAATTATTAATGAAACATCAGTTACTGTAACCATACACATTATCCAGCCTATTTATTCAATGGTTGTAATCATAGTATTTTTCGTGTAGCTACAACATCTTTATATTTACACCAATGTTAGTTTAAGTTTAATTGAATATTATGTTTCGTAAAGTGGTCCTCCAGTGAAACAGCAGTAAATTTACGAACTTACAATCCTAAACTCCGAAGTTCGGTTCCAAGCAGTAGTTTCTGTATTTTCCCTCTAGGGGGTGGGTGGGTCATATCCAAATGAAGGGGTGGTAGAGAGAAGTTTTACAGGTGAGTATAAGCTAATGTGTAATAAGAATGATTGCTAACGTAGATAATGTTGAATTTTAGGATATGACACTAGTATATTGGTATTACTTGAAAATGTGGTATAGTCACAATCCATTTGTTTTCTTGGAGAGAAGTCTCTTCTTATTCTAACAACCAAAGTTAGGTTAAATTAGAACTATTGAATCCAGCCAGCATGATTTTGTTTATACATCTGATATCTTTGTGTCTAAAAAAGATATGCCATTTCTTCGTTTTACAATTATATTAGACTCGTCGTTCCTTTGGTAACCATTTTCTGCAAAGCATTAACTCCGAGCCTTCCTTAATGCAGTACTGTATATTTAAGTGTTCGTTATACATGTGAATGTGAATAGTATCGTAAAATAGCTCATTCTTAGGAACCGATGTACCAATTCCTATTTATGTTAAATGTTATACATTTTAAAATGCTCTGTATTTCCATCATTCATGCATGTAATGTCAATATCGTATTTGACATCTGTCATCCCTGTGCCCTGGGGTGTACAGTGTGAATGAGCTTTGTGCAAGTGTGTTTGTTTGTTTGTTTTTGAATTTCGCGCAAAGCTACACGAGGGCTATCTGCGCTAGCCATCCCTAATTTAGCAGTGTAAGACTAGAGGGAAGACAGCTAGTGATCACCACCCACCGCCAACTCTTGAGCTACTCTTTCACTAACGAATAGTGGGATCGACCGTCACATTATAACGCCCCCACGGCTGTAAGGGCGAGCATGTTTGGTGTGACGGGGATTCGAACCCGCGACCCGCAGACTGCGAGTCGAGCGCCCTAACCATCTGGCCATGCCGGGTCTTGCGCAAGTGTGACCAATTATTCCATTTTGATAATAGTTTTAACATTATGTTATGACCTAGATACTCATGTATTTATAAGATATTTTCAGACTTTTATGCATTTTATTAATTACGAGTTTATCATATATTTATCTCTAATTTGCAGATAGCATTATTTATAACGTCTTGAAGTCATTTTATCACGAATTAAAATTCGTTAACTTGAGGAATATAAATATCTGTCGATCTTCTACTGCAGAAGCAGATGCCCTACTGTTCGTACTAACTTTCAGTTTGTTGTCGCATTGTCAAGTTCCACACTGAATAATAATCGTATAAATCACACAAAATAATAAACTTTAGGAACAAATTAGGAAAAATAAAAATAATAAAGGTTGTTGGAAGGAAAAATTAGTAATTAATTTTGGAAAGTTATTTATGTTGTAGTCGTGTTGTATACAGTTACATGAGTAATTTATGTATTCATTGTATTTTAGGTAACTGTTAACCTAATTGAGTTAGTGCTGGCCTACCTACATGGTGAACCAAGTTCAGTCCCCATAAACCTAACTTTAATTCAGATATTGTTATAACAGTTTATACTGTTGTGCGGATTGCTTTGGGATTTTCAGTAATAAAAAATTGCAAAGTCCAGTCCACTTATTGATAACGAAAGGATATTTATTTCTTCATGTACAAGTTAGACAAATTAACTTAACTGATAGCCTAAGTGCACAATAGACGCTAATCTAACAATTTCACTTTGTTAATTTCTCGCAGTCTACACAGTTTATGGTGTTTCTCATTACTTTGTCGAAAACACAAACTTGATATTCTAAGACTGAATTAATTGTTTAACAAACTCAATCAAGTAATAACTTATTAATTCCGACTCAGTTTACTCACAAAATTCAATAATAATCTACTGTTACGACAGCGGAAGTCACGCGACGCTGGGAGCATGCGCGCTGGAATTTCTCGAAGGATCATGAATTTGCCCGCCAGCTCGAGTGTGATCTAGATGCCCTCTTTTTTTTAGTATATAAAAACCTGGCAAAGAAAGCCAGGGGCAGATAGATAATTGAGTCAGGCGAACAGTAGGCACCGTAAGTAAACTGTGTGAATCACTGTGATTTATAGCGTGTGGTATAAAGGTTGATAAGTTTAAAGAAATTGAGGAAATTCTGTGTATTACAAAAAGTTTTATCGACAAAGAATAAACTGGTTTAATCAAGAAAGGACTTGTATCACTGAAGTTCCTCAGAAAGAATTTCTACCGGAAATTATCAAACAAGCAGATACATAACACTACTCTAACTTAACTCGCTTTTTACTCTGTTCTAAAACTTTAGAGAAGATTTTAAACTTTAAGTCATGTGTCCTCCTTGGTTAAAAAAATACAAACGTCTAAATTAAAAATATAGCCTACAACAATATCAACATATCGCGCGCGTGTGTAAATAAAAGTATGTAAGTACACGTAAAATTTATAGGTATAATTTGTTGTTTTTTTTCGATAACTCATCTTAAAAGAGTGTTCAAACCTATTCAACTCTATTGTTGAATTTTAAACACTGAATTATTTTTTAGAACTACAAACCGTCTTTATCATTATCTCTTAGTTTGGAGTGTTAAGTAAATGAAATATAGCAAAAATCACAAGTATTGCTTGCATTTTGTTATCTTGGTTTACTCAGTAAGATGGTTAACATTCCCATTAATTAGTAAAATTTTGTCTGTTATGTAACTCTCGACAAATAAGAAATAAACTACGTCTTATCTTATTTATAAACTAGTTTCTTCTTCTTTTCAACTTCTGTAGAACTTAGAAGAAATGGAATCCAAAGACAAGAGTTCCCGATCGGGATCTAAGACAAACCTGAACGAGTCTACCTTGCCGCTACTGGATGAAACCGTGGATCAAGAGATCAGCAAAAGAGAGACTCTAGAAAAGGAGAAGATTGAACTGGAGGTCTGTGGTGAAGAAGAGAAATTTAATACAGGCAAAGAAAAGGAAGATTCAACAGAAAAAGTAGAAGGGGAAGAGCAGAAGAAAGATAAGAAGAAAAAGAAAGCGAAACCAGCCACAACTCACAAGAGGGCTTTGTCTTGTGGTCAGGATCTATCTGTTGGTGTTAACCTTCTGGACCGTGATGAGAGACACATCAACGACCACATTAATGTAAGTATTAATTGTTGTTTATTGTAAATTATATTATTATTATTATTGTCATTAAAACAAACTCATTCTTGTAATACAATTGCAATGTTTCCCCTAGTTAATCATAGGAAGTTTAATATTCAATACCTATTCGAACTATTCGAAAGCGCTCGAGTTTTGGGTCTTATTTTAAGTTTATTACACTTTATATGTGATCTTTTGTGCTAACTCTTTTATCAAAATGTTTGTCTTACGAAGTTACATACTCCCATTTATCTACATTAATAACTTGGTTAATATTTAGTTCTGATATATGTAACTTGCTTGGATCAGAAGGTATTGATAATAGCCGTTTCGATGGCACTGTCTAATATATCATTTTAATAGCTATCGAGTATTTTTCCAAAGAAGTTTATTCGTTCGTTTGTTGTTAAGCTTAAAACTTCACAAAGGAATATCTGTTCTGTGCCTAGCACGAGTATCGAAGCCCGATTTTTAGCGTCATAAGCCTTCAGACTTACCTCTGAGTCACTATGGACTGGAGGGTAGAAGAGTGAAAATAAAAACAATTCTTTTCTTTTCGTGAATATTACATTTTTACATTTAATTAAATATCTAAGGCATTTAATTAAATAACTAAGGAAAAAAAGTTACTTAGGAAAAGATTTACCTTTTCAAGGACAAAATTTGCCAGAAGGCACTAAAAATACCGATAACATACTTTGATATATGAAACGTTTTGATAACAGCGAGCAGAGTTAGGTAACATATATTTACATATTTTTTTGTAAATTGAAACTCACAAGGCGGTTTTGATTATTTCAACTAAATATATAATTCCAGCTTATCCTTTCTATAAGTTTGTGTTCCGCCGAGATATATTTGATTTCTGTAGTTTTGGAAAATAAATGTATAAGGTAATTTTGTTTGATATCTAAGCAACGGGTATTTTTGAATGACTCATGGCTGGTGGTTTGCTTAATGGAAACTTGAGTTGAAAATATTGGTTTTTGTTTTGTTGAGATACACGTCTGTTTGATGTAAAAAATCCTTTTAAGACGCCGTTTCTGCGGACTACGTTCCCACGTGGTAACACTACAATTTTATAGCTTTTACTAAAGGATATAAACATTATCTCTTCAATTCTTCCTATAGGTGAGTAGTAGAGATAAGGGATTGGAAGACGAAGCCAACAGCAGCTTTTTGGTAATGCTTTTCATTCGGTTACCATAGTAATTTAACAGAATGTTGGCTAAGAGCTACTAGTTTTTTTTTTAAGAACTTTAGCAGAGAGTTTAAACTACACTCTCTCTCTACTTTAGTATGCAGGTTGCAAAAACAAAAGTGATTTAACGTGATTTTTCCTGAACAAATATGAAAAAACACACAAAAAACAAAGTATCTGTATGTAGAAAAATTCTTATAAAAAATTTAAATAAAAAAAGAAGTTGCAATTTATGTAGAGATAAAGAAAAATAAAAGACAGTATTAAGATTCCTTCCTTCGAAAAAACTTTTGGGTGAGATGGTTCAGAAAAAAACCAATGCTTTATTTGGAATTGATGAATATCTTACAGAGATAAATATATATATATCTATATATGAATGATGTATAATCTTTCTTTTTTTGTATAGAGCCCCCAAAAAATGCACTGTTGAATAAACTTGAATTCCAACTGCTAATAATCTACAAAAACGACTTTTAATTGTGATTATAGAAACCACCAATGCAATGTGATTACATTTGAAAACTAGAGGGCACTCAGTAGAGGGCATACCTCCGCCACGCATCGTTGATCATATTCGGCTCTCATAAAAATACGTAAATGTGTTCGTACGTCCGTTGTTATGAACGGACACGGACTTTTTTTTGGTAGAACAATGAGGAATAATACTCTGCTTATGTTCACCAAGTTTAATCAAAATCCGATTGTTTTTGACTGAGTTATAGAGCAAAAATAGTGTGAAAAATCGGTGCTCATGTTAACAAGATAAGGATTTTCTTGGATTTTCGTGATCTTGTTGTGACTTTGGCCTTTAACGTGGACTCTCCAAATGATAATCACTTCTAAGTTGCATCATAATACAAATGTATAATACCCACTTTTGCCCAAATCCATTATTTGTTTTCGAAAAATATTGCTGACTCACACACACACACACACACACACACAGGGGTGAAAACCTCCATCCACCTTCGGTGGCGGAAATAATAAGGTCCCAGTGTTAAACATTTTATACAAAACTGTTTGTTTGTTTGTTTTGAATTTCGCGCAAAGCTACACGAGGGCTATCTGCGTTAGCCGTTCCTAATTTAGCAGTGTAAGACTAGAGGGAAGGCAGCTAGTCATCACCACCCACCGCCAACTCTTGGGCTACTCTTTTACCAACGAATAGTGGGATTGACCGTCACATTATAACGGCCATACGGCTGAAAGATCGAGCATGTTTGGTGTGACGGGGATTCGAACCCGCGACCCGCAGATTGCGAGTCGAGCGCCCCTAATCACCTGGCCATGCTGGGCCTTACAAAACTGTCTCAGGTAAAATATTGGTAGAATACTATAATAGAATACATAATATTCTTATGTGTATTTCTCCGGATCATCCCGTTTGTTTCGGATTATGTTTAAGATCTGACAAATTACAATATCTTTATTACTTTAATAATTTTAGTTGAGAGTGATTTTTTTTTTGTAATCGTAGTATACGAATATAATTGTATCTTCCTTTTCGTATACAACGTCTTTCATCCTTGCCTAACGAAACAGCCTTAAAATAATGTTGGTTACATTTTACTTTACTTCTACATTAGTAGCAAAGAGAAAATAATATATTTTCGATTAAAAAAATTGAAGACCCTCGATAAAAACTTTCTTTGTAATATGTTCCTGAAAGAGGTTCGATGTTCAACACATTAAACACAAACACATGTAACAGTACTGTTGGTATATCTGTTCATCAGCGAGTCAGCAATAATATTCCTTAAGCATAAACACACGTAACAGTACTGTTGGTACATCCATTCGTCAGCAAAACGAATATAGAGTCGGCATTCTTAAGCACAAACACACGCAACAGTACTGTTACTATCCGTCCGTCAGTGAAACGAATATACAGTCGGCAGTATGGATCTATATATCCTTTTAATTAAGCTTGAAGCACAAATTAACCATAGTTATGAGACAATGTTGCCATGCGGATATCGTGTGAGTAGAAACGAAGATTAGTTAGAATCTCTTACATCAATAATTTCATAATCTAATGTAAATTTTAATTGCCCCAGGACGAATATTATACCATAGTTTAATGGTACTGTTGGGATAAATCACGTATTGGTTTACGGAAGACGTTAAATTCTACACCGAATCGTAATTACATAAAGACGTAGTCTAAATACATAGCTAACGACACAAATGCCAATTATACCTCGTGGGACTAACTTATCTGCGTAAGTCTGTATCTAAGTGTGTTACTAAAGAATTGAGATTCGATATTTTCAAATATTTATCAATCAATCTATAGGTAAGTATTTTTATCCATGCTTCTTAGTCAATCAATTCCAACTTATTCGTGTATGACTCAAAATAAGCCCCCCAGTGGCACAGCGGTATGTCTGCGGACTTACAACGCTAGAAACCGGGTTTCGATACCCGTGGTGGGCAGAGCACAGATAGCCCTTGTGTAGCTTTGTGCATAATTAAAAACAAACAGACTCAAAATAAATATAAGATGTGAAATTATAAAATGATGCAATTGTTGATGTTTTCAGACCTATATACATTGTTTAGGTATAGATACTGATGTTGATGTTTTCAGACCTATATTCCAATATATATTTCTCTCTTTCACGTTCTTTAATCCTGTCTCTTTCTTTCTTTTTGTTTCCCAGTGCTCATCTCATTTCTTGTTTAGGTATAGATACTGATGTTGATGTTTTCAGACCTATATACATTGTTTAGGTATAGATACTGAGAGAAGTATGTTTATGTTTAGGTATGCCCGTTTTCTTGCTTTCTCTCTCTCTCTCTTTCTAGTTTACTGGGTGAGGCGTGGTTATATAGTGAGCATGGTTCGTGTCCTGTTATTGCAAAAAACGCGCTCTTCTGTGGGATGTGCATGCGTTATAAAGGTGAAGGTTAATTCACACTATAATATTAAAATACTCCAAAAGTTGGCGTGGGATTTGCTGACTTAGCTGCCTTCCTTCTATTCTACTAGTTCAAAAATAGGAACATATAATGCAGATATCTCTTGTCTGGCTTTCCATGAATATCCTAAACGTACAAGATTAATGTTCTCGTTTTTTACGTACTTTCGTATCTTCAAGAAACAAACAAAAACATACCGTGAAATAATGACATCCGATACTTAAATTCATGCTGATGTATAACAAAAAGCTATTGAAATGTGAATACTATGTCTAGATATGTCCATTCTAGAAATTACACCGAATGAATCGATAATCATTCTTCGGTGACATATGAAGTTTCGAATGGAGACAACTAATCAGAAATACTAATATGTGAACTCACAAGAAGTTGGTTACAACTTTTTCATCGGAAGAGTAAGTGACTTAAGAAATTTAACACTGCATACGTTACTATGTGCACATCATAAAACGTTTTAAAGTGGGCAGTATTTTGGTAGAAATTTCTTTTACATGCGATTTTTTTTCCATAATTAAACCGCCATTCGGTGGAACAACTCTAAGTTTACAGATTTACAACTCTAAAATGCGGGGTTCATTTCCCCGCGGTGGACACAGCAGATAGCTCACTGTGGCTTTGCTTTAAATTCAACAAATAAAAATAAACAATCCATAATTGATTGATTTATAACGTTGGAAATTATTACTTTGTATTCATAACATTACACAACTATCATATTCTCTGAACGAATCTTCTCTTTACGTATACATTTGCTCTGTAACATTTCTTTTCTTGAAATTAATTGATCTGAAAATAGAAGCACATTAACATTTAATATTTTGCTGTGGACTGTTTTATGCATGAAAGAGCA